GTCATTCAACGCCACTAAGCTGTAGACATCTCTCTCCGGCTATACGGCAAACAACAGAACCAACATTGAACATGAAAGTGACATGTTCAATTGTGTTTGTTTCGTTAGTTTCAATTGCGCCGCTACGAGAGGTCACTTTTGTCGTTTCTTGTTGTTATGTTACATGTAAAATCAATGGTATTAGACGAGGATGAACTTCACCATGAGAACGAAAATGAAATAAAATGTGGTTTTCTTCTTCAACCTTTTTTAGTAGTTGCACTTTGACGCAGTTTTGATTTACTGAATTTTGAAGGATCGCAAATTGTAAAGAGGAAGTAATTGTGAAGGAAAAATCGTACAGGAAAAAGTATTATTGAAGTGGTTACTACTTTTGAGAGTTTTTTGTGTATGCCATAAACGCAGAAGGGGATTTAAAATCTTTTTAGACTATGAGAATTGCATTTGGAGCTTAAGCCGAATATGATTCCGATAGAAATGACATGAGTTGACAGCTCGAATCATGATTACAGTGTTGAAAACAAAGACAAAATGGATACGCGGTACGCACTTCGACCTCATTGAAACAGAAATAATATTATGCACAAGCTCTTGGTTCTCCGGATACTACGTACTAAAGCCAATGCTTTGTCCAGCTTTCAGAATCTCTTTGAGTATTGCTGCACTACGTACATTTCACTTTGAAAACGAAACGTCCTTTGACCAAAACTGTCAAGAAAAAGAGGAAATCCAAAAGTTAGAAAATGCGTTGATTGTAATGCGCCAACGCTCAAGAATCTCTTTCAAATGCAAATGAAAGCTTTTTGTGAATTAAGCCTTCAGTACATGAATATGGACATGATGAAAAAACAATTAATGTGAAGTGTTTTTACAGCGGTATAATATTCCGGCGAATGGAAAATCAAAAGAGCTTAAATAATAAAAATACGCGAATTCAGTTATACAATTGAAAATCCACTCGAAAAAATCGAAATGAAATAACACGCTGAAAATAATGTCATTGCTCGCATCAAACGCGCAAAAAACAAATGAAAAAAAAAATTGGCATCATACCAGCACATTTTGTGGCAAACCATTCAATTTGTTTATCAATTGTCTACGAACCAGATTAACATTTGATCAAGTTTATCTCTGTGTCGCGATTTTCGTTTCGAAATTGAATCATTAAATTTTATCTACCACACACACACACACACACACACACACACACAAAAGGGCAAACATACCAATTACACGCAAATCGAAATGATTTTGCAGCACAGTTTTATGTTGATTGACGATAAGGTGGTCGCATTGCAAGAGTAAAAAAAAACTCACGGGCTCATGCATTGAAATGGGAGGAAATCGATCTGCAAATGATGCTGGACAAATCCGGATGAATCATCCATTACAATTGGAAATCGACATTCACATTGGCGACAAATGGAGTGAGGAATCAGAAACGAGGGCTTTGGCACATAAACTCACATTTGCAATCAAAGTACTGAGCATTACAACAGAGATTACACACGAAATTCCTTCAGTTGATTTGCATATAGCACACATATTCCCATTGCAACTACTGGGCTACGGTATGTCAATAGTTCGTGATTAGTCGCATTAGACTGTGTCGTAAGTTCTATGCACAAGCACTAGCGCCAATTGCATGCTGCACAATATTTGTATTTTCAGTAATTTGACTTCGCATTGGATCACATACACATACGTATGCGTCAAACAATTAAATTCAAACTTGTAATTTACGATACAGACAAGTCAAAAGTTTCTATTTAGATTGTCCAACACTTCTCATCATCGAAGACATCTGCTACTACGCAAGTAACCTCACTTCATTCTATCAAGACTGTCGTGCTTTGTACTCTAACTTGTTTGAATCGAGTTCATTTAACAAATACCGTATACATCAACGTTTCAAAGATTAGTTACGATATATTTCCGTAAGCGCTGAAGAGCTGAAGTTTTTGTACATCGGAAGTAATTGAAAATACCGTGGAAAAAAACTTCGACTATACAGAATGGTTTCATTTAATTTTCAAAGCTGAATGGAAAGTGTACAAGGTATGCCGATATAGAGAGAGAAGATTCGATTCACTTAGTTGAAGTGACATTGGTATTTCCGTAAAAGACCCGTAACGCATAGGTATGCATGTGTGCTATAAATTTTATTTAAACAATTAACAGCAGCAATATATTACCGTCGTGTGCAAATTTTCAATGCTTACGTTCCCATTTATTTGCATTTTATCCCGTTCCACACATGCACAGGCATACATACACATAAGCGTGTAAGTGTGTTAGGCCGTAGTAAATTATATATAATTATAGACTAAACAAGATGCGTGTGTGTGAAGCGGTTGGAACTTAAATTGAAATTCACGTTCTTTCTGCAAAACCCATTCACTATTGCGTAGCAAAGACAAAATGATCAATTAAATTTATTACCATTTGCAAAGCAGCCGACTACTCAAACAAATGACGTCGTATCATGCTCACGAAGAAAGTGTCAAACTACAAGTATATGAACGGTGTCTGTGTGTATGGGCAATCGTCGTTTCATTTACGGGCTGCTCTTTTAGTTGATATTGAAACGACAGAATAACAAAAGAACAACGCACACAATTGATCCCTTGGGTATCATTAGAGTAACGTCATTCATTGGAAATTCACCCTTTCAGTTTATATATATACGTGGGGATGCATGGAAAAGTATAGATGCTCAAACTACCTTCAATTTCCATTGCAAGCACCGGTAAATAAATTCCGATGAAAATCGAACAACAACAAAACGGCAGCTAAAAGGAAATCGATGTGTGTTTGTACAGCACACATTCGCTAAAAGAAGCAATAGAACAATCAAGCGATAAAAAGTTTTTCGATTTTTCACTCGCACTCATGCGAGCAACAAACATTATTCAGCTCACGTGAAATTCAATGGCGAAAATTCCATCATGAAAAATAGTCGAAAACATAAAATCGATACAATTCGCAAGAATGAAGAATTGAATTGAACTCAGTTTTATGGCAAAAATCACGATTTTTCGATAAACACATTCAACGCTATTTATTGACTTTCTCTCTCTCTCTCTCTCTCTCTCTCTCTCTCTCTCTCTCTCTCTCTTCCAACAAAAACAATATCTCGTGCCAGACAATAGCAATTTAAAATGAAAACATATACATATTTAAGCTGTTTCAATTCACTAATTACTGTACGCATAGGAAAGTATCGGATTGTAGTGGAAGAGAGACTTGCATAGTGTCAAATATTTGAACGGAAACGGGAAATCTTTATAATCTCGTTTGAGTCCGAGATGAATATGTGTAGAACATAGATATAGTGCCACAATACATTTCAAATTTCCAATGACTTACATTGGACACATAGCAGTCAATGCCATCTCAATTCCAACTCATTGAATCATTGAATTTTTCGGCAACTTTTTTCAAACGTGTATGGCTTTACGACGACGCTAACAGCTTCTCTGTGGGCCGTTACTACTATTGATGTTTTGCAATGGTTACTCGATGCATTTTCCAAAATACTATGATTTTTGTACTCTCTTCTACAATGTGTGTGTGCAGAGAAGCTGCTAGTATCGCCATAAAGTTGATTATATTCAACTCAAGCCACACACGATTGAAAAACGTTGCTCGAAATATTCGATGATTCAATGAGTTGGTTCAGAGATGTCATTGACTGTCTTTTGGTATTCCGGCAATATATTTATGGTGTAGAAATTGAATTAGTTTCCAAAGGACCATAACTGGACAAGCAAGTTTCAAGTATTATTACGACGAATCTCTAGAGTTGAGTGATTCAGATCAAAGATGGTGAAAACAAATAGGCACTACTGCTGGAATCAACCGATTGAGAGAGCGTACATGCAGAAACATCACAAAATACGCCAAATACAAAATTGGTTTGACGCATTGCATTCTGCATTCCAATCGCGCATTCTTTTTTGTGTTTACTGACAATTTGGTTGCGGCTGTAGCCGCAGTTGATGACGCGACCACCGCATGTGCTCCACCATTTTTGCACAAATTTAAATTATTGTTGTTTTTGTTTGTTCGATTGGTAACGTTTATCTTCTGTTTTTGTAGTTGTTGTTGTTGTTGTTGTTAAATGCTTCACTCACTCGTCGATTGTACGTGCATGAAGTACACATCCACAATGACTGACATAGACGGCCCAATGTTAAATTCGTTTCATTGGCAAAATAAATATTTATAAAATGACAAAATAAATGTTCCGAAAAATGGTTGGCCTTTTTTTCGGTTGTCTGTGGTAAATTTTGTTGTTGTTGTTATTTGTAAAGTTTCTGTGATTTTGTGTGTGTCCGAAATAAATATTTATTTCATTGGCGATTTCAACAAGAGCAAAAACAGATGAGTACGCACACGCGACGAGACGTGACGCGACACGTATTAATTTAATTTATAAAATTTACGCTCACGGTAATTATATTACAGTGGACAAGCCTAGGGGGATTTAACTACGTGAAAACTTGTAAAAAAATGATATAAACGCGCACGAAATTGTTTCATTCACCAGAGAACTTGCATGATTCCACTCAGTTGACAAGTTCCGTATTAAAACAACATGCGCGAACTTGTGCGAGTTCGTGTGCAAACATGAAGCTGGACGACGCGCACACATCAGTCGTTCCATTTGTTATATCTATCTGGATTAACTTTTTCTTCCAACACTTTCTCCAGCTCTTTAAAAATATTTCCTTTGTCCATTTTATATTTATATAAATCTTTGAACTTTTGGAAAGGATGTGAAAAATCTTTATACACGTAAACAACCGATTTTTAGTTTGTAACGCGTTTTAGTTGTCAAATAACAACTTGAAAAACGCGCAAAACCATAAACAAACTTGTGTAAACTTGTGACCGTGCGCGTCAGTACGTACAACGAACGCGTCGAACTTCCGCGAATCAAGCAAACTGGCAGAAAACATGCTGAACTCGTAAGAGTTAAATTCCCCTAGGGACAAGCACTTGTGCTGGAAAACAAATTGTGCATACAAATGAGTAAATGTGTACTTTTGGCTACCACATTTTCAAAGTGCCACTACTATTTTGTGTTCGAGCTGCTTCATTTATACATATAGTACGATTGATTGAAATGCGCGAGTTAATGTCGCTTTAAAGCTATGAGATAAACGACTTCATTGTTGTGAAGGCCCAATAAACCCATTTAAATTTTTCATTTTTATTTCTCTCTTTTTCGCTCACACTTATTTAAACGACGAACAATTTGTAAATGAATCGCTGTTAAGTTTGTTGTACTTCACAAATTGTGTCTTCGCATTCTAGTTGTTGTAATCATTGTGCTATTGTGTGTGGTAGAATGAAGTGCACGCAAAGTTTTTCTACGAAAATTAACATGGCTGAATTTGAAGAAGTTCACTTTTGGATCACAAACGAATGTGTCTCGGTGGCATAGTCTTGCTCTCAAGGGGTGTGGATAAAACAGCGGCTTGCTTGCTGGCTTGCAATAAGCGCACGTAAGTAGTGTCTGATTATCATGTGAACAAGTAATCGATTGAAATCCCCATTGGTCACACAGTGTGCAATGTTGCATGTAAGCAAGTACCTTACAATGTGCCAACAGCACAGAACCGAACAAAACGTAATGCAATCATTTGGCTGGCTTGTATTTCATGGAGTTGGCTCGAATCTCTCTCTCTCTCTCTCTCTCATCGCCGTGCAATAGAAAAACAGAAGCAACAAATTGTTCTATCGTCGTCAATGACTATTCCGTTCGTCTTTACGGTTCTTTATATCCTTTTATTGAAGTTATCGCATTTTCAAGAGATTTATGTGACTGAATTAAATACACTTTATTACATGGAATAGCGCCGCGCTGTATGTTATATGGCATCGCCATAGTCACATATAGAGTATATGTTTGTGTAAATGTGTGAAAACGAAACCAACCAAGTAGCAACCTTTTGAAAACGCGGCGCGCAAATTTTTCAAGTGCCTTTCAAAACTGAAATATTTTCTTGTTTCCGCTCGTCTCGTTGAATTCATTTTATTTTCCTTTTCCTTTCTTTTTTTTTCCTTCATTCTTCTCTTCGGTTGAAATCCAATTTTCTGCAATTCTATAATAAAAACCAGAAACTTTGGTAACATTTTTTATTCTTTTTTTTCTCTTTTTCTTCTTCATCGTCATCGTCGTCTTCTTCTACTTCTTCTTCTTATTTGGTGCCATTAGAGAACGAATCGACTGCATAAATCTATCGAACTCAACTTCGTCTCAATACAAATTCAATTTTTACACTGTAAAATCGTTTGTGTGTTTTCATTCATAAAAGGGTTTCACTGTTCTTATTTTCGCATTTTTATGCAACAACATAAAAATCGAAGAAATGAAAACAGTTAAATTGTATTGACTGAACACAATACTCTTGATAAATTCAATTTTCGAATCTTTGTTGCATTATTATCGCTTGGTGATGTTATTTTGTGCCACCTTTTATATATATATATATCACATGCGCTGCGATTCACTCATTTTTCTCCATTGTCACATTGTTCTTTTCGAGCGCTGCTTATCGGGCTTCGTGCTTTCGTTGTTCCCGGGAAAATTCGCATTGGAAAAATGACGAACAGAATAACAACAACAGCAGCACGCAGCATACATGCGAAACACAACGAAATGCTGTACCATTTGATGTATTCGTGTGCGATTCGCCATTTCATGTCGGATTGAAAGAAATATTATATTCGATCAGACAAAAATTCAGATTCAATAAGCGGGATGCAGTTTTCCAACGTTATTTGTGTGCTGCCAATACAGAAATGAAAGGGTTTAGAGCGAAAATGTTATACAGAAAGGTTGAGAGGAAAAATGTCAAATGAAAAAAGATAGCTATATAGTTCACTATAGTTTACTATACAGTTTACTATATAGCTATCCCTTTTCCGCTCATTCATCATCGACATTTTTCCGCTCAACTTTTCTGTATAACATTTTCGCTCTAAACCCCTCAAATGGTATGTATGGATTTTTTCTTCGGATTTTATTTACAGATGTTCAGTCGAATGCGATATCTGCAATTGGGTGTGAGACGACATGAAAAATGGTACGATAGCGTTAATTTACATCGTTTACTGCATACAAATACGTAGAAAAAAAACTTGTGTTTTTTTACTTGATAGGTTTTGTGCTCTGAAGCCAAGTCGTTGGTTAGGTAGACGTATTCGGTGTTCATTCAATGCTAACACCGGTCCAGCTGTTATGAAATCGAATCCAATATAATGAAAATTCATTCATTAAAAATTCACCGCTGACTGCTTTTTGGAAGGCAGATCAGAATTCATAACGAATATATGATCCAACTAATGAGAATTTGAAAGAAAGAGTCAAATGCTTTTTTGTATTTTGATCCAGCTGTGTCATTGTTAGTTTTTCACAGGCACTTTTGACATCGATTCGGCAAAAAGTGATAAAGTAATATATTTTATGTGTACAACACTGGCGTGACCTATCTATTCATCGTCATATCTATGTCGATTTTTTTTTCTGGAACTTGCAAAAATTTGCCATTTTAATATTCAAAATGGATGAGAAGAGGAGGATCGTCCGAACATTAATGTAAGCATTTAGCGTTAGAAGTTCCACTTTTTTCTCTTCAATAACAACAAACGATATAGATAACGGAATATTACAATTTAGAAGATACAAAAATTTCAATCACATCATCTTTGAGAATTTCAGCTTGATTCGCATAATAAATATATGACGGAAAAAAATATCATCCAATGAAAAGAATAAAATGTATCCGATTCATCAGCAATAGAACCAGAATATAAAACTTGAACAATTCTTGTTCTCATAAATGAATAAAAAAAATCGATAGACGATTGGCAAAATCATTTATTGATACACTCTCAGCGAGAAAAAAAAACGATTTTCAGACGAGTTTCAAGCGGCATTTGGGCAATCATATCTTTGTTATACTTTTATAGTGTAGTTATATTTTTGTTTTGAAAGTTAAACTTGGTCATAAAATTAATTGTGTGACTCCTTACGTTTTCGTTGATGATAAATAAATTAACGAAATTTTATGCACTTAATAAGTAAACGAAGCGATTGTTTTGGTTCGAATAAATGTCATTGAGCAAACGGTTAAGAATCAAATCGATATCACTTTATCGCGAAAACTAGATTGAAACACTAGTTGAATATGCCAAAAGAGAAAATATTAAATTTCAATATATTGATATACCAATTGAGCTATGAGCACGTACTGCCGTTGTCTTCAATCAATACCTAGGTAAAATATACGTCAATTGTTTCACTTGCAGCGAAAGTGCGGCACGTCCAAATAAAATTTAAATGAGAATTAGCTTGTCTTCCAAAGATGTCCACTGACTCAAAGAAGATTTCACCACTGTGTCTTCGGCTTCGTTTCGACTTATACTAACTTTGATTCCCAGTCACATTTGAGTTTTGTAAGAACATCCACTCAGCTCGAGAGAGATAGAGAACGTGTTTCAAGTGACCGCAACAAAAACGAATTTTAAGGCGCGAAAGGAAAATACACAAAAAAAACAAAGCGAACGCACGACAACAATCACATGTAAAGCCGGACGAAAATCAAATCACAGCTATCTCACTGTCCACGTACGACAAGACCAAAAATACACACATACGTATACAAAGAAGACCACCTTTTTCAAATGAAACAGTTTATAAGCTCGACTTGTTTTGCGAGACGGTATAGTTTGTTGAACTTTTTGTTGTTTTGAAATGTTTTGATTTCGTTCAAGTTTTTTTTTCAGCATTCGTATTCGTCTTCATTTTAAACAGACAGACTTTTGTCCGTTTTACGCCTGTTCGTAGTCTATATTTTTTGATGTTCGTTTCAAAATATCATATATATATATATGATCACCGATGCTTCTCGAGTGTTACAAATGCTTTAAGTCCACTAGAACATTTGTTTCCATTGGAATTAAATTGGTTTTGAATAATGTATTATATCTTTATATATATTATGCTGTTGATAGAAGGTATAAGAACACCTACCGTTGCATATATGTGAACCAATGAACCTGAATATGAAAATACAACGACTTTGCTTTCAAATATTTTGATTTATTTCCAAAATTAATCTTTATCGTCATTGTGAGACATCAATATATCTTTATGGCATTTTGCCCCCATATATTTGAAAATAAAACAAGATTGCAGTTTCTACAATTGCTAAGTGAAATGGGTGAATAACCTATTTTGACTGTATTTGGAATATTCCATCTGAATGGCTTGATTTTTTTTTGCTTTTTTGCTTTCATTCGTCTCTCAAGGTGAATAAATTTGTAATCATACTTAAGCTGTAAATCTATTAGATTGTATTGTGAATCATAATTTTGCATTGGCTTATTAAAAACCAAATACATTTTAGTTCATACTTTTAATACACATATTCTCCTTTTATACTTGGCTAAAAATTCGATAAATTTTTTTTAAACATATTTGTTTTAAAATTGAATAGTTCATATACAAAAAGTTTTGGTTTTCTCAATGTTAAATACGGCACAAGACTTACGTACAGTATGTTGTCATGATAACAGCATAATATTCTCATAATCATGATAAATGAATCGTTGATTGCATTGGAGTGATTTATGTTCAGTATAGTGCTTCAACCACCCAAAGGGATTTCATCCTTTCGACTTCAATTTATCAACGTTCAAATGGTGCATAAGATTTTCATCGGTCGGCTTTGTTCTTCTTCACCAAATTAGAAAACATTTTGCAAATTGGGTTTTCCACAAAAACCGTGAAAATGCCAAACAAAAAAACATCAAATGCACATTTATACTGTGGTCACGGAGAGAATTCCCGATAATTTTGAGACGTCAACCGAAGCGTTTGTTGTAGCACCATTACTATTACGATTTGGTATGATTTGCATATTCGATTCATGCGGAGTGGTGGCTCCAATCGCATTTGGTGTTTGTTCTTTCTTTTTTTTCAATGTTTTCTTATCGACGATGGTTGCCTGCGTGGGCTGTTGTAGCTGAGGGTGGTAATATTGATTGAGTGTCGCGTGTGAAATGTCATGCATTTGCTGATTTTTCGACGCAATTAAAGATTCTTGTCGTTGTCGACGTTCTTTTGATTTTTCCATGTGCTTTTTTCGTTCTTCTTTCGTCCAGTATCGTCCCATTTTCACTTCAGATATTGTATCATCTTCGGTTGTTTGATCATTGGTTCGCTCTTCGTTGATTTTCGATGCACGAGCCGCACGTAAAGTTCGATTTCGCACCGGACGACGGACGATGTATCTGCTGCCATCAGGTCGACGCTTTACTTTCCATTCCATGCGCTCTTCACTCGGTTGCGGTTGAAGCGTATGTGTATATGCCTAAGCACAAAGGGGAAAAAAGTGCACATATTCATAATGCAATCATTTTTATTGGCAGATTGCAGATGTTCTGTATAATATTGGGGGTTAGAGGCACTGTTCACTTACCTGTTGCCCACTAACGAATCGGTATTGACTCAAACTGGGAGCGATAAAGTGTTTTTGGGTTGGATCGTTGTTTGCTTCATTGTTCTTTTGATTTGTGTTTTTAACAATTGAATTTTGCTGGCATAGGGCTTGCAAAAACATTCGCTGCTGTAGTAGCATTGTCTGTTGCAAATTCGCCAAATTCGTGTACATTGTTTCCCCTCCGCTGCCTGTGCCAGCTATCGGTGCACTTGAGCTATTCCGAACAGCAGACGATTCTACAATGAAATTATAAATTGTGAGATTCAAGGGGTTGCTATAGGTATAGTTCTTCTATCAACTTTAAAATTAAATCAGCTTTGAGATTGTACGTAAATGACTTACCTTGATTATTTGAATTGGATTTCCTTGTGGTGGTGTGTTCATTATGACAGTCTGCACGTCGATTATTATGTGTTGGGCTTAGCACTTTTTCTTTTTTGATAGCTGCGCTCGACTGTCGAACGGTCGGTGATTTTGATTCGTGCTGTTGTCCTGGGAATTTCGGTTGAAGATGCTTTGTGGGACAGAATACAAGCGTTTTGTTGCCATCATCATTGTTTGTGTCGCTCAATTCTAACGTTAACTGATGATTACTGTTGCATGAACCGCCCGTGTTGTAGGCGCTCGAGCTGTTTTCGTGGTCTTCGACACTTGAATTACTTTTTGTGCTACGTGTCCAGTTGCCGGGCTTACCATCGATACACCGTTTTTCTCCATCTTTCATATTTAGCCATTCATGCACTAGGTTTTGTTCAGTGTCCGTTTCGCCTCGATATGGCGAACAATAAATGGGTTCGGATTCGGAATCTTCGGGTATTGTTTCGTAGATGTGCTCGGTATCTGAATCGATTTGCGGTGGATATTGGGTTGGATAGCGACGTGACGTAGCCGATGGTTTTATTGGGTTTGCCGTTTGTGTATTACCACTGCCATTCGAAATGTCCATACTTGAAAATTTATTGTCTACTGCTGCCGTTGGCGATGCACTTATCACAGTTGTATCATTTGCTGATGATGTAGCCGTTGTGGATGCATTCGATTTTGGATCGATCTCATTCGAATTAACCATTGTGTCAACGGGATTTCGGTAAATAGTCGATGCATTTATTTCAGCCGCTTCGGCAATTGCTTGTTGATTCATTGCCTGATGTTGTTTCAATAAAATACTTTCAATACGTGAGTCTAATTGGGCGATTTCATGGTTCACCGATTCCAAATGTGCTTTGATAATCGAAGGATGCAATGGATTTCGTACGGCAAATGGCGAATGCATTAGTTGATGATGCCATCTCGGTTGATAGTGTGGTAATAGATTTAGTAGTTCCGATTGATTTGAACTGGATGACTTGGACGACAATGTGTTGGTATTTTTAATGGCATCAACGCTCTTGCTTAGCGATTCAGAAACATTTTGATTGTTGTCATTGGTGCCGGCGCCCATTTCACATATCATTTCGCTCGATGCTGAACCAGTCAAAGCGGTACTATTAAAAACGTTCTGCAAATAACCATTTTGGTACATCGTATTTTGAATTCGCTCACAATCATCGAAATAGTCAGCATTATCATTGTCGCTCTGTGAGAATTCTTCGCTCTGTTTTTTTGTTGTTTCCATACCGAATTTAATCAGTCCGTTATGATTCCATTTCCAATGAACGTGATAATACGCCCGAGCACGGAATTGAAAAAGAAAAGAAGAAGCGACACAAAAAGGAAAAAATCATTAGTTAAAATGCCAAGAAAAATGCGAAAATCTATTGTAATGTAGAAATCCGGTTGGGGAAAAATTCTTCTAGCAAATGAAAGACGACGACGACGACGAAGACGACGACGATGATGACGATGAACGAGAACGAGTAATGAAATTTGTCCGCTGCCTGTCATCTTCTTTTCCCACTATAATTTAATCAAAATATACGTAGGCTCGTCTTTGAACGTCAAAACACGTACAAGTGGTGTCTCGTTGCAATAATAAGGCTGCAGACACTGTGTGTACCGGAGACTAGAAGGGTGCATAAGTGTAAGTAATATTTACTCGACGAAAAAACAAAACCATACGACGACGACAACAAATTAAAATAATGAAAGCTCCATTGTGAACAAGTGAAAGCCTGAACGCATAATTTAATGAGTTCCAAAATAATTGAAAAGGAAATATTATGAAAAGAATGGCACAAAATTGTTCACAATACGTGAAGAAATCGAGCAGAAAACGGATACTCTTCATTTGCATATTGCTTTTTTAGGTGTGACGGCACCAAAGCCATCCACAAACTTCACAAAAATCGCTTAAAAATCCTTTAATTATTTTGAAATTTCTCTCTAAGGTTTTCATGCAAAATCAATGCTTTATGTGGGAGTCATGATAGTATTGTTGTTGGGCTGCACAGTGTTCAGTGTGCACGCAATATGATATAATGGCTTTGAGATGGGGTACTTGGTCGAGAGTCGAGAGAAAGAGAGGGGGAGTACAATAGAAAATTGAAAAGGTGTGTAAAAGAGTTGACAAAATAATGAAAAGTCATCAGTCTATCAGTTCAATCCATAACGTGCTCTTTTTTGCATCAAGAATATGGTACTAGTTAAATTAGAGAAAAAAAGTGGAGTTCTCAAACACATCAAGAGCATTTCCTCCATTTTATTCGCAATATTTTCGAATATATATGTGCAGAACGTGTGTTGCCATCTATTATAGCTGATTCTGAATTCAAAAACCGCAAATTATGCACTCGCATCAATTCTGAATAAAAACAACCATCTCGAAACAGCAGATAAAATGAGTCAAGTTGATTGTATTTAGTAATACGGTATACTTTTCGTTGAAGAAGCGATAGCAAAATGACACGCATTTCCAAATGAAAGCGTGGCAATATTCGCACAGGCAGCGGAAACTTGAATGATATGCTCATTGTATTGATCCTTGTGTGCTCCATGTTACACGATATTCCACACGTAATAATCATAAATAATGATAATAACTTCAGATTAGAATCAGATAATGCATCTCATACGACTTGAAATTGTTTCTCATTGTAGATTTTTTCCATAAAAATGCCTCTCTCACACAATAGATTGGAATTGTGCTTTGCATCAAATTTCATATATACATTTTTCCACATAGAGACCTCACCACCAGCAAAACTGAAAGTGGAACTCTATGAATCGCTATGAATAGTAGTTTTCATTCGATGAAGCCTAACACACCATTAATTTTCTGGAGACTATGCGTGTGGTTATGCAGTTTACTTTTGTCATTGATTTGCGACGACGACGACGACGACGACGGGCCAAGAAACGATAATCGACAACCTATTTCAAACATTCATATGGCCTTGATGCTTTTTTCCTCAAACAAATAGGGAGGTAAAAATCAGACGAAAATACACTTACCGTATAGAAACTTCGACTAACAAGTAGCGTAACAGCATTTTTATTCTCTGAGAATAGTGTTTCGGCATCCTCTTTCGACGATACATCACGTCCATTAACCTTTTTTTGGCAGAGAGGTTGAATGTTTCATTGAATGTTTCCACGTTGTTTTTATTGGGTTTTTTTTTTCGCATGATTGCATTAGTTGTACATCCGATGAATTTTCGATGTGTCGTTAGTGTTGAAATGAGCCGAAGCCATGAAAATAATAAAAGAAAATAGTCTCATGAATATCATAAAAACGTCAAATAATCGCCAATGGTTTTTCCCTATATATTAGTTTTCCTTTGCAACAAAAAGATACATGCTCGACCAAATTGAAATTTTAAGCAAATTCCGTAATAATTTTTTCATCATAAATCGACCGCTTCACAGATTTGCGTTCATAGTGTGAACAGTTCGTTCGAGTCATAAAAAGGATTATACAAATACAATGTACATACTTGTAGAATTTGATCGCCTTGCCGTAGCCGTCCATCCCTTGCAGCTATACTATTTTCCGCTATATCACTAATGTATACCTCCGTACATGTTTCAGCATCATCTGATCCTGAGCCGGAGCCATTTCCGGAACTGTAGCTCACCGTTAATCCGATACGTTCATCACTGTTATTCTTACGCAGTGTTACTTCCTGTGATTCATTTCCCCATATCGCCATTTAGTTGATTGATGTGTTATTTTTATTGTAGCGTTGTTAGAGATTTTTTTTTTCGTGTGTTTTCAATTTCGAACCGAGCCCAGCATGAAATGAGAAATGCAAAAAAAAAACAACGAGTAATTAATCAATAGATCTAGTAGTTAATAAAAATGGCTTAATTTTGTTGGTTTGTTTGGCTGTGTGCTTTTTAATTCTATACAGATTAAACGAACAAGCAAAATCCTACGCTGAACCATTGCCGGCAAATATGCGCCATTTATTAGCATTCACAGCAAGCGAACCAAAAGTTTTATTACTCGGATTATTATTGTTATTTATGAGTTTTTGCTTCTTCAGAATTATGAAATAATTGTGTTTTTGGTCGTGGCACGATGCCAAACAACAGTTGATACTGATTGCTCTGCAAGCATGGAAGTTATTTATTATGATTTATCAGCAGATAATACTTTCGCTTGGCTTCATTTCGACCTTGTAAAACGCCTTCATTTTCTCATGCAAACGGCACAGTGGGGCCGCAACACCAACTTTTAATTATTCGAACAGCAGTATTTTTTTTCTCGCCTTTTTCACTTTCTCATCATTGCATTAGTCCAGAAAATGTAAATAATTTCTGAGGCAACGTTGAAATAATTAGGGCTAGATATAACATCGGCCAATTCATGTACATGGAACAAGAGTGTTAACATTTCTGCTGAGCATTTTAAATTGCATATCATCATTTAAAACTGGTACGAAGCAGCGACATTTTAAATTTCAATTTCGTTCTGTGGCAAAAACACATACAGAGTAGTACTTACACTACACCCCAAGAAATCTGGCCCCTGACTTACAAAAACTGAAAAATTCACGCATAAAATGTCGCTTCAGAAGAACGAAAAATCAAAATGATAATAATATAATTACATGTTTCAAATGTCACTCAAAAACGATTTCGAGGCTATGGAAAACATTCGAAGCGGAATAAGTCGCTGAATGTAAATATGCAAATGAGAAAATTTATTAAATTAACACCCAAAAATCTATGATATTCTTTGTATTCAAAACTGAGCGCCACAATAAATTCCCCTAGACTTGGCATCCAATTTTCCTTATTTTTATGCCCTTATTTACCATTTTCTTTTGATACGCTTGCTTCCTTTCCCTTTGGCGCTTGAGCACTTTTTCTTTTCTCTCTCGCTCTCTCGTTGTATACAGAAAGAAGTGCTCACGTAAAAAAAGATCAAAGAACATCATTTTTTTCTATCAATCAAAGAACTTTATTATAAATATCAAAATTCTGGACTCGACATTGTGTAACAAGTGCGGGTGAAACCCTGCAACATCACGCTGTGAATATTCAATATGGTGGTCGAACTATATAGGTGAAACATATTTTTCTTGTAAAGAAATTCTTTTGCTATCAGCACACGTTTTTCTTTTCAAAATTCCAAATAAGCTTAAAATTGTGTATTAACACGTTTGGCTTTAAATCTAAAATTGAATACGTGTTTCAAGAAGTTTGAAAGAAAATGTAATTTTTTATCGGTAAAGTAATGGAACTGGCGCTTGATAAATCCAAAAAAGTGGTCTTCTTCATTTAAACAAGGAAATGCATTTGTAAATGGAGGAATTCCTTCAAATAATGTCCTTAAAAAGACATATTCCAACACATTTTTCAAATTATAATGTACTCCCATCCTATGTTTAACAAATATAAATAACCGCTAACCAAAAACAAAGTAAAAACATAACCGTTAGATCTTCTCAATTTATCTTGGTGGAAAACCATAAAAAAAAACAAAGAAAAAATTATAACGGACATTGCGTACAGGTTCAGCTGGTGTGGAATTGTTATAACAAAAAAAGCATTATTGTAAAGACATGAAATGCGGGGAAAAAGCGATTTGGGAAAAACAAAGAGAATCTTGAGAATTATCCCGCAGAAATTTGTTAATCGGATGCCGGGTGATTTAAATATTTCGCTACGGTGTCAACGGTTTCCGGTTGCTCATAATGTTTTGATCAGGACACAGAGACCGTGGTAGCTACAGCAACGATTTTACATCATATTTTCTGATATTAAAGATACGCTCTGCCAATTTTTTCTTCGTTGAGCGTGATTTAAAAGGCAGCAAAAGTGTCAAATTGTATTCTTTTTTCGGTGGATTTGATGAACGCGATGCGATCGTTATTTCTATTAAGTTCTTGTGCATGCTTAGTTTGGAATTCTTGGTGCAGAATAACTGGCAGACAATTCACGTCGACTTGCCAACGGAATTACAATTCCGACCACGTTGTTCTAGATACAGTTTTGTGCGCTCGGATTCATTCATATTTATTGCTTAAGCGGATGTGAATAATGTGAGCATTGGTGCGTTATGCAGTGGATGTGGAACGAAATGAAGAGAGAGAAAAAACTCGTCCAAGAAAATATGAATGAAAATGAAACCCAACAGTTTTGCGTACTTAAACTCAACAAATAAATCAACTTATAATTAAGAGGTTCAAATAGAAACCCATGTACAAACGGTTACCTTTTTTCGGTGAAGCATTTCCATAAATATTCAACATAAATTGAGATGAAAATACGATTTAAAAATTTTTCCTTATTGCAACAATTTTTTTTTTGCATATTTTGTTCTTCTTTCTTTTGAGAAGATTCAAAATTAAGATGAATTTTCATTCTTTTGGAGATTTCATTTGGCTACAACTCTCGAAATGAAAGAAAAAAATTGTTCGTGTTTGGAAAACGTATCAAAGTCATTAATGCATTTAAGTAACATTCCCTCTATAATTTTTCTGTCTTGCGTTTAATGAAAAATTGTATGCATTCAAAGTGGATAAAAGTGAATTGCAACTAAAACACAACGTGGAAGAAGGAGAAAGAGAGAACGCTATACATCGCTCGAATCATATCATTATTGTATTTGAAACGTCTAGACGATTTTCACAAATTTATAATACAATGAGATTTTCATTAAGTTTTATTTCCAACATTTTTTTCTCTTCCCTTAATCATTCGCTTGTTCAATTCTGTCATGTTATGCTTTGTTCACTTACGCGGCTTGCTCTCGCATCCTCCTCACGTCAACACATAAATTGCAACTACATTAAAAAATATTATGCATTAAAATTCGTAACATTTCTGTGTCTTCATTTTGGATCGTCTCTCCGTTTCAATGTCATTCTTTTTTCTCTCGTTCGCACTACGGCTTCAGTCGTGATGATTCTGGTTTTTTGTGCAACTATATTTTCGTGTTGATATTGCCGCAATTGTGAAGGCTTTTGTTTTTTTGAATTGGAGGAAAAGAGCACATTTTAAAATTGTGATAATATTTATTTGAATGAAAGTCTTTATTTTTTTCTTCTTCTACTCCTGCCATAAATTCATACATCTCCTAGGCGCATCGTTACGAGTGAATCTTCAATGTTAATGATTTTAAACGCATAAAAGCGAAGGAAGATAAATTACGGCTGAAAGAAAATTACATTTGCCATGGTGACGGTGTGTTGATACGTTTCCTTGTTGTTGGTGGAATGAAACACCACACTATCCTTTTGACGTGCGCACGCGGCAAAAACTTTCGTTAATTGCGCATCAAGTGCAGAGGGAAAGAAGAGAGATAGAGACCAAAAGAGAAAAACTAGACACAGGATTCACGCTTCAATAGATCTAAATTCATTTTCTTACCGTGCAAAACAGCATTTCTGTATTTTAATATTTATCAAGGTGTCTGTCTCTTCACGCAAATTACATTCCATTTAAAAATGTATATAACTTTCCCTGTGGATGTAGTACTGCGAAAAGGAAATTAACATTTGGTCTATGGAAAGCGTACTGCTCTGATGCATCAACGCCGCAACAATCGATAAGAATTATATGGAGGAATTCCAAAAAATGAAGTTGTTATGGAAACGTGCAATGCATTTTTTTCGATAATCAAGGTGTACAATGTGGCATTTTGCACGTAAAAAACCATTTACGAAAAATTACCCAATAGACGGAAAAATTTGTGAATCATTAAATATGAAGAATACAATACCACATTCTTCTTCTCGTCTGATATGGTGGGGTGGCCTCTTGTCGGTATTCGAAAACAGCACGTATTACACTGATATATGTACGCTAAGTTGAATGGGCACGTAGCCGTTGTCTACACACGAAAATTATACGGTCCTACAGCATTTTTATGGTCGTAGATGCAGTGTACCACGATTTCACGTTATCAAACCGTTTATAATCACTTTAAATATGAAAACATTTTATATGCGGCGCATGTAACTGTTCGTCGCACTTGTACGCTTAAGTCCGGGAGTTTTGCATTTTTACCGTTTAAATCGAGAAATTTAGAAGAAAAGAACTGACACTATTGTGAATGCGTCATGATTTCTACATGCAAAAGCATTTCATTGATTTTTATATAACAACATCGTTTGTTGTTTATTTCTAAGAATGCTGTTGGAATTCTAGCACCACAATTCATATCACATTCACACCATGCATTTTGAAATGCTTAGAATTTTCATTTAGTATTTACACAAATTGTGATCTCTCTCTCTGTCTAGTTCTCCCTCGCATTTGAACCGTTTGCGCACCGTTTCGATTTATGTAATGTAAATTTTACAATAATAAACAAATGGCATGGCTTTTGAATGAGAGGAAATATGCACTAGCTGCACAATACGACAGTTCAAGCATACATGAATGCGGTGACAATATAATAGCCGAACAAAAACACTGAGTCGGCAACGAGTCATTTAAATAAATACCAAAGACGAAAATCCTAGAAACGCCATGGTTATGTGTTGCGCTGTACTCTCATTTCTTTGTGATATTTACCCCGGTATTCTCTCAGATGCACATGTAATTTGTTAAAAAGATTGGCATTGTGCGCAGAAAAAAATGAACATGGAAATGATTTCTTCCTTCAGAATGCATTCATGATTTCACCTAGTTGCAATTAAAAAGAATATCTCATTCAATGTTTTTTGCT